TTGCTAGGCATAATCATAATATCATAAGATATGTTGATGACTGCATTGGTCACAAACACAGACAGAAAACTACAGGAACTCCTAGACAAGTTAGTAAAGGAAAGCTAGAAGAAAGGACTAACCATCAATTGTCAGAAGAGAGAATGTATGATTGTCAGTAAAAGAAACAACCCAAGATGTCAACTACAAATTGGAGATATCAGAAGCAAACACGTATAGAAATTTAAATATCTGGGAAATGTTTTAACAGATGACAAAAAATATGATACTGAAATTTAAAGGTACACTGAAATAGCAGAAGTAGCCTTCCACAATCTAAACAAAGTATTAAGAAACGGGAAACTCTCAGTAAAAATAAATAAAAGAGTCCTGAACTGCTATGTGATACCAGCATTTATATATAGCAGTGAATCTGGATAATTTGCTCACAGATTAAGAGGAGACTTGAGTCAAAAAGGATATGATTCTACAATAGGATGTTGAGAATACCATGGTCGTATTATGTAAGCAACAGAGAAGCTTTAAAGAAAATGGAAACATAATGACACTTATACTTAGAAAGATACAGTTGAAATTTCTGTGATACATAATGAAGAAAGAATGCTTGAGAAGTATGACACTCACAGGACATATTGGAGGCAAGACAGCCAGAGGTAAACAGTGAGTAGCCTACTTAATGGTCATATAAACGGTTGGCAGAACAGGTTGGGTATGGATGGTAAAAAGGCAAACATTACAAAGAGCTACAAAGGATAAGAAGTTGTTGAGAGCCATGATTGCACACAACATGAAGGGACACAGGGCATAAAAAGTCTGATACAAGGACATTTTCTGCATCACCAAGCTTATAATCTACTGTTTACAAGACAAACTTATTCAAACTTAACCAGATAGGTGTTTGTTAAAGATATTAGATATTAATATTTCACACACATTCAGTACTTTTATGATTTTTTTTTTAAATTGAATTTGTAGCAGATATTGTGAAAGGTTAAGAAAATCTTTGACAGTATCTGTTGTAAATTCTGTTTCCCTACAAACAAAATGCCAATGCTCTACCAATTTTGTGCTTCTGTACCTATGTTATTTTTTTAATAGTACTGCTTGTCATTGGTAAATAATTTTGACCAAATGTGTTTGTCTATTTTTTTATTTATCATCAGTAGTTGTGATTGTAAAGATGGTTATGACGATGAGTCCTTCAAACATAAAAGCTTATCACCCCATCTGGTGGTAGACATGTACAAAATGGGGTCTCATATTACCCAAATAGAACAAGTATGATTTGCATACAAGTTCATGTGCTTTTGTAATTTACAGCATACCAAACAACTCACAAACTGTTCTCCCCAAACTAGTTTCCTATTTTTGGGAGCACTCTTATGTCTCAAGAAAGCACATAAAGCCCAAGACAGAACGTGTTCAGTAAAATGTCTTATTTTCATTTTTTCTCCACATAGTTCCAGACTGTCTAGATGACATCATCATTATTCATTGAGGTTCATGTATGTCTTTACCTTTCTTCTCTTTTATTAGAGAAATATCATTGTGTGCCTGAGTACAATGACTTTTACAAGAGAAGATAACCAACTGAAGGAACTAAATATCATGATCACATTTTTACCAATTTCAAATATAAGTACCGTAATATGGATTTTTTTTAGCAATTATTATATAAATTATTTTATATAAAATTATATTTTTTATATGATTTCCTGTCAACTATGATCTTCAAAAAATGTAAATGCAACATTAATTGTCATCTTGTGTCTTTTTAAATCCTGTTTTTTATTGTTCTTTCTACTCAATAACTTTTTCTCAGTTTCTTTCACTGTGAGTAACCCTTTGCATCTCAGTGACTTTATTGCCTTGCTTGGGGTGAAATAATTAAAAACAAAAATTAATTATTACATAAATTATTTTATATGAATTTATGTTTTTTATATTTATTTTTGTGTTTTTTTTTTATATGAATTGCCCTTTTATAATTGTGCTTGCCCCTCTCGTCATTAGTTTTCACAACCATTATGCCCCATCAATACCTCATAAATGATGGACTATTCCATTTTTATCACATGGAAAGAGGGGAGAAGACACTACTTGGTTTCAATGAGAAAATGAAAGAAAGAAATGAAAAAGAAGAAAAGATAAAGTTTTTAACACCTGTTTCAGTGAAATGGAAAAAGTTTTCAATTTCAAATCTTTTCATTTGTACATCCTTACTTTTTAAAATAAAGACCCACATTCATATTTATGATTGTTATTGCAATATTTTGTTAAAGTTGCTAAGTTCAAATATTTAACAATGCAATAGGGGAATTTCTGAAGATATTTTAATGTCAGAGAACTCGCCATAAGCTTATTCAATCATTAACTTAATTTAGATTCATCAAAAAATTCAAATAGGTAAACCATGAAATTTTCACCGGTTAAAACTAGTATTAATAGTTTTATATGAATTTATGCTTTTTATATTCATTTTTTATATGGTTATTATATGAATTATTATATATAATTTATTTTTTTTGAAGGCTTCTTTTTGTTTTTTGTTCTGTCGATAATCTTTGCCAAACTGCTTAGTTTGTCCATTCCTTGAGTTTAAACCTTCATTGACCATTAACAGAATTCATCATTTAGACACGTATACACACACACTCACGCATGTACACACATACTCACACACACCTATGGATAAGTATATGTGTGTACATGCCTGTATTTTTGTATGTATGCACATTTGTATACAAATTACTATCATAATGACCTGATTTCTGTTTGCGTGTATGTTACAATAACAGCAAAAATGGCACAATTTTTATTAGTGCAGCACTTAAAATGCTCAATCATAAAGAATAAAGCAATTTTTCAGTCTAATTGCAGCCAATGTTTTCTGAATAACTTTTAATTAATTAAATATAAAGTGACCAAAGAAATAAAAAATTGTGTGTCCAAAGGAGGTAACTTTGAGTCTGTTACCTGTTAATTCCAGAGTCATTTACCTTTTTCTTAATGAGAAATAAACAATGAATAATCTTTCACCTATCTGCATTCTATTCCATCAGCCTTAGTGACATACCAGTATTGATTCTTTAATAATAATTTATAAAAATTAAGCATAGTGTTACTTAGCATTTTCAAATAATTATAATTCTAGGGGAACTGGTTTGATAGTGAGCAGAGGTTGCCAAAGTCAACATTTAAACAAATATACATAAAATATTATCTTAAAGAAAATATTTAAAGTATTTAAATATGAAGAGATAAATACTCATGTAGAGTTACTTAGTATTGCTAAGGTTTTAATCAGTTCAGAGATTGTAATAATTATTACCTATTTATTTCATTTAATAGGAGTAGATAAGTTTGACTACTGTCTGGTTCACACTCCTCCCTGGTCTTTTGAACACAAGTAGAGGTTTATCCCTTGTTTCTTGCTTATTTGCTGATTTCCAGTTCATTCTAAAGTCATATCATTCTCTTTTTCTCCCAGTAGTCCCTTGTGTGTTAGCAGCATTATTGCTTTGCTTAGATTTAAAAAAAAAAATTAGCCATGCAGTAAATATAGTTTGAAGTAGAAAATAAAAAATATAATAGTAATATGTAGAAATGTATGAGAGGACTAAACAAGCATTAAGACAAAATTTCTTTTTCCAGAATCATTTTCGTTTCTTGAAATGCAGTATTTTTTCTTATTGCCTTCTTATTTAAGAAGGATAACAAGCATAATCAACGTAACTGACTGAGTTTTATTTTTTTTGCTCTGTTTCCTTCCAACTTTCAAGTTACTTCAAACTTCAATTCTTCTTCTTCTATGTGTCATGTCCTTTCAGGATGTGGGTGATTGTGGCTCTCCACAACTTTCTGTCCTTTGTAGCCGTTAGTAAAGTTTGTCTTTTTTGCTATATCTCCTAATCCCTGTTCTGCCAACCATTTATACAAGCTCATTATTCAATGCTTTCCTCTTCCTTTCAATATGTGAGTATCAGATTTTCCAGGCCCTCTTTCCTCATTATTTTGCCTGAGAATTTTCAACTCTTTCTTTCTGACATTATGTATAAATTTCCTTTTTGTTTCCATTTTCTCTAAGACTTTGTCATTGCTCATGTCCATGGTATTTCTCCCTCTGTCAATGTTTATGCAAAAATGTTCCTAAATCAACCACCAAATATAAATAATGCTTACTAGATTCACACACACACACACATACACACACACACATCCATACAAATATATATTATCATCCGAATCTCGCATAAACAAACTAGAATTATGATACACACAAATTATACATACAAATGCTCCTTGACAAGTCAAATGCACGTTAAGTTTGCTTAACCAATGAAAATCAAACAACACAAAAATATAAATACCAGAATTTCTTTTTCTATATCAAATTCTCTGATGAGCCTTTAATAAAAATAAAATATTTTAGATTTATAAATGTTTTTTTATATGTTCTTTATCCTTATTCTATCATTCTGTCAGATTCTGATCCATATTTGATCTGTATTTCATCCCAATTCATATATATTATATATATATATATATAGATGATTGACTCTTCCATTGTTTTCAATGTATGGAATCCAATAGGATCTAGACTTGAACAGCCAGATTACCCTTCACCTATGATTTGATTATTGTGATGAACATTTACACTCCTCAGAAAAACTAAATAAAGAAAACTGGTGTACATTGTGTGCCATGAGATCACCAAGCAACAGTCCTCAGGTTTATGAATCAGAGTGTTTTTCTTCTAGACTGGTTGCTAATCAAGGCTAACGAGCACTGTCTGTTGCACTTTTGATCTATAGCTGGGTGGGAGGTGAAGACATGGATTCTTACTCTTGCCAAGGGTAATTGCTAAAAAATGAATGTCATGAACTCAATTGGTGTTCTGACTTGATTATTCTGATTTCTTCTTCCAAGCCACCACCACCAGCACCACCAGCACGCGCACACACACACACACACACATATTCAGCAAACTAATCAGGTTTACAGACGTTGAAACACTGGGTCCCATCTGATCACTGAAATTAAGCAACATTGAGCCTGGGCAGTAACTAGATGTGTGGTCACTTGGGAATACCAAGTACTGTAAGCTTGGATGTGTGGATGGTGTAATGGATAACAGCTAGGAATTGTAAATCAGAGAGCCAAGTTTCAATTACAGTCAGATGCATTTTATTCACTTATGTGCAAATACCCTTGGGAAATGTATGAATCCACCTCTTCTTCCCCCAGCTATGGCTTAAATAATAAAACTTGTATTAGTAGAATCATTATTATCTCCAAAAAATTCTTGCAATCTAAATATATTCTCTGGCTTTAAATAACCTTTAAAAGATTGATAATCTGTAAGAAAACAAATCAATCAATCAATCCACAAACAGATCAGTAAAGTGATGATGATTATGATGATGATGGTTTTGTTTAAATAATAAAGGTGTGACAATGGGCATCCATATTCAGAGAGAATCAAAGAGTAAAATAAAAATTTAGTTTATATTTAATTTGAATAAAGTGTTTATTTCATGCTTCATCTGTTTTTAAATATTCAAAATGTCTTCATTTCTCACATTTCCCAGTACTAGGCTCTATAGCCCCACCCCCACTTAAGTTTTAGAGTCATACAATCAAGGAATTGGCCCTAGGCATTGCCAAACATCACCTAACCTCTCCAAGTTACTGACTGAAATCCATAAGGATGCTTTCAGCAATGATCATCCTTCAACTTTTGAAGAGTGACTATCAAAAGCATTCATGTCTATAAAATTTCTAAGAATGAAGGTAAGAAAAAACAATGGTACCATACTCTAAATTTTTTTCAAACAGATTCAGAGTACAGTGAAAAACTTAGCTGCTGTCTTTGTTTTTTTTAATCATTTCACCCCAAACAAGAATGCCACTAGTATGCAGAGGGTTACAGCGAGTGAAAGTAAGAGAAAAGACTGAGTAAGGGGAGAATTGAGGAAAGGACAAAAGATGAATGGGATTCAAGAAGACAGAAGATGGCAATTTAAATTTAAATTTTGAAAGATTGTATTTATCAGGGAAGCAAGTAAACAGAAAGGAGTTTCACAGGTGGGCAGTGCAAGAAAAGAAACTGTTGGAGTAGAAGAGCCCGTTGCATTTAACTATTTCAACAGTAAGATGGTGGGACCTAGATGCAAGTCTAGTAGCACGTTTAAATTCATGTAGTCGAGACATCATGGAAAAAAACTCATCAGAGCAGTTGCCATGAAAATATTTATAGAAAAGACAGAGAGAAACCACACCACATCAGTGAGGTCTAATTAAGTAAAGCTAAAAATTATTTTAAATATAGTGACAAAGATGTTGATGGTCTGATAATGAAGATTAGTGTGTGTGTGTGTGCGTGCGTGTGTGTGTGTGTGTCTTATATGGCAGTATGAGTTCATCATGAGAAAATACTGGCTTATATAAATGTCACCAAAAAAAAAACACACACAAATCTTAATTCACTTCATTGTTATAATATATCCACGTACTACACAGTATCACAGTTAACAGAGGACAAAGGACTGACTAGCATACAAAAAGATTTTTAAAAAAATCTAATAAATATTACATTATATTCTCTGAGTCAGTAAGGTGCTTATGAGCCAAGACCTGAAAGTAAAGAGTCAGTCAGTATGAAACAGAAAATAAAGCCATAATCTTCAAAGAAATTTTAACTTGGTTTTAAAAGTTATTAGGTAAACATTTTGTTAGTGTCAAGGTGGTTGGCAGTTGTTTATGACAGGTTAGCAGAAAATGCATAACATGTTTGTAAATAAAACAATTCAAGGCTGCTTGCTGTGTTTGTAAACAGATTAAAGGTTGTTTTTTTAATAAATAAAAGTACATATCGAATACAACACTAATATCTGTTCACTGTAATATCCTTTGTTTTTATTGATTATTGGTTAAAAGTTAAGGATGATAAAATGAACAATAAAAATTTATAGCAATAAAAATAAATAAAAATAAAAAAATGAAATAAAAATAAAATAATAAAAAGAATAAAAAATACAAAAGAAATAGAAAAAAATAAAAATGAAATAAAAAATAAATAAAATTGAAATAAAAATACAAATAAAATAAAAAATAAAATAATAAAATGAAAAATAAAAATAGCAAATTTATAACAATAAAAAAAAAAATAAAATGATAAAATAAAATAAAAATTAAAAGTAATAAAAATTTATAACAATAAAAAAAATTATAACAATAAAAATGTTACAACAAACAATAAAAATTAAGGATGTTACAATGAACAAATATTAATGTTGCAAGAATATTTCATATAGGTTCTCATTATTAAAAACAAAGAGCTAATAAAAATGTCACCACCACCCTACAGGCAAAGAAACAAAGAGGCAGGTGGAGATAAAAAAAAAAAAGAAAAAGTAAAGAATGGGCTGACAACATCACTGAGTGAGCTAGAAGATCATTCATAGAAACCCGAACATTTGTACCCAACTAAGACATAAGGAGGGAGTTGTTGAAGTGCTCAGCTGTAAAGTGGTGTGGTTGTAGATACCACACCCTATCGTGATGATGATGACTTTTATTGGTTGTCTGTTTCAAATTTTTTTTTTTTTTTTACTATCAGCACACACACACACACTCAGAACATCCAACATACCAGTGCAGATATTTCTGGGCAGTGCGAGAAAAGAAACTGTTGGAGTAGAAGAGCCTGTTGCATTTAACTATTTCAACAGATATTCTAATCCCCATTACCCTCAAGCATAAATATCTTTTAAGTGAACAGTTTTTAAAGTTTAGTCAGAATTGTGGTCTACATGTATACATTGGTAAATCAACAAATCTGTAGCCAAATGACAATGAAACATTTATTTTATTGACAAATATTTATTATCTATTTATGTAGCATTGTCAAAAATTGTTATTAATTTTTGGATAGTATTGACTTTCATCCTCCTTGAACTGATGCTACACAATCATGGACAAAGAACATTACCAAATTACAGAAACTGCATCACTTGAAGACTTCCAACAGTGGCAACAACTGAAATATAATTCAAAGAAAAAAAATAATCATATGTTCAAAATGTTGGCATTCAACATTACTTTAAACAAAAGGTTAGGAAGGAAACCCCCATCAATACTGGAAAGAGCAATAACAGTGGATCTTTGGAATTTATTTTCCTCAAAAATTATTTGACTATAAATATTTTATAAATTTAAACCAACAATAATTCTCACTGTTTAGTCAATGAATGCCAAATGTTTTCTTATAAGGAAACAGCAAATCTCACCATTACAGCAGTTTCTCAATTATCCAGATACCTTGATACAGGGGTTGAAAAAATGTTTAGATAATTTCAAAATTCCAGATAACTAAATACCTAAATTATAGAAAAAAGTGAAGCCAAAAATAATTTTCTGAAAGAAATTTAACATTTATATCATCAGATAACATTTTCAAAGGCTTTGTTCAGGCTTTTATCTAGTTTATTTTTCATGCAAAATGTGTCAGTTTTTGTCTGTTTCTGACTGGCTTCATCTTTTTGTGCTGCTAAATCCTGCAGCTGGATTAAGGTATTTGTAACACTAGCTTTTTTCATTCTATGATTTCATTTTAAAAACATAACATAAACAAAAACTAGTCTTGAAACTCACCAAGAGTGGGGGGAATGCATATTTGCCCGAAATGGAAATGTCATAGAACCACCCCAAAAGACGCCAGAAAAAGTGCACAGATGTACTGAGGAAGTAGTCACTATCATAGGAAACAGTAAGACCTCAGAAAAAGCTCTGACATGGGGGACTTCGAGGGCCCTTTATTGTTGAGTACTATTTTGCTTTTAGCAGTATGCTCCTTTACTGATGTCTTGCTGTTCCCCCATGATATTGAAGACTTTCTGTGAAATCATTCTGGTCTTTTAGGGTTTTTTTGATGATTCTACAGCATTTCCATCTTCGTCAGATGAGCATTTTCCACCTCTCAGTGAGTTTGGGTGGTGTGTGCATGGTATGTAAACATTAACTACCCTTGTAATATCTTGAACTTACCAAGGGGGTATAAAGTGCCAATATTACCAAATAACTGTTGCCAACTTCTTGATGATTGCATGAAATGCATGAAACTTTTACTTGTGGTCGGCCACTGTTCACCCAGAATCTTTTGTGAAATATTAATGCTCTGCCAGTTAATATGGCATTGAGCTGTCTTTCTCTGGTGTGCCTCTGTAGTAGACTCCATTATGAGTTGCTTATTTTATATATACATACATACATATATATATATATATATATATATATATATATATTTTTGAACAATAAGAAAATAAAAAATTAATAAATTAAAAAATTAAAATCATTAGACACACTGGGTTGTAGATTAATATTCTTTCGTTTTTTTATTATTATTATTCCATTTAGATTCCTCGACTAGTTTCGACCGAAATGGCCATCATCGGGAGGAGAAATATTTCTGCTTGCTGTTAGCAGTGAACTACAGAAATGAATGTCTTTTGTTGGAGAAAATGAACTTTTGTCTGTCAAAATATATATATGTGAAGAAATATAGTTTTATGGTGTGCTATATTTATGGAATAAAGTATTCAATATCAGAGATAGTGCGTATGTAAATATAAATATAAAAGTGAACATTGAAGTTAACACTCAGAGGCAACAGGCTGTTTCATGCTGGATGCAATTGTCAGGCGACACAATCATCAGGCGGCCTGACGATTGCATCCAGTATGAAACACCCTGTTGCCTCTGAGTGTTGACTTCAATATATATATATATATATATATATATATATGTATATACTGGGTGTAACAGCAAAATTGTCCATTTTATATAGCAGCTTAATTATCCAACCCACAAAATGTTTAATAATTAAAAAAACCACTAAACTAATTTTCTTTTTTCCAGGTAAACAGATGAGACATTTAGCCCTCTTGACACCATTTGTCGTAAGAATCACTGAAAAACCTTTTAAGTTATTGAGCTAAAAAGAGAACAGGTTAAAATTGTATTGTGTCATATCCACTGTTTTCCTGACTGAGCAATGGGGAGACGAAAAAATCATTCAGGCCTTCAGTAATGGTACCAACATTCATACTATGGCTCCCATCTTCAAAGTCCATTCAAGAACCATCAAGAGAACAGTGAATAAGTTTAAAAAGAGGGAACATTAGAGAGGAAAACTGGATCAGGAGATCACAACAGGAAGAGGGATCATCATTTCAACTTATAGCTAAAGAGATCAATTAAAAAAAGATCCAACTCAATTCATAAGACGTTTGGCATGTGAAAGAGGAGTTTTAGCTATGACAGTTCAAAGACCAGTGAAAAAAAAACTTGAAAATGAAATCATATGTGAAACATGTGCGGAACCTTGTTACTCCAGGACAGAAGATTAGAAGGTTAGAGAGTGTGAAGATCATCTTGAATGAGTTGAAAAATGATCCTAGAATAATATATATATATTTAAACTTCATTTCAATAATTCATGAGCTTCCAATACTTAGCTATGATTAATTAATAATGAACATATCATTTTCATTTATGATTGATTTGATCATGATTCTTCTGTTAAGCTTGGAGAGTAATTATACATTTATATTACTCAAAGTAGAGCCCAATAGTGTTATAAAAATTTCAGAGAATTCCAGTAAGATATCTTTAATTATTCCTAAGACACAATGGTTCAGAACTTAATCTAACAATTGGACAATTTTGCTGTTATATATATATATATATATATATATATATATATATATATATATATATATATATATATATATATATATATATATATATGTTAATTTGCCATGTTTAATGGATGTCCAGTTACCTGTTAATTTCCCAGGAAAGTACTCACTGCCTTAACCAGGTATTGAACTCACACTCTTGGGTCCTACCACTGGATCTATCCACTGTGCCATGTGTCCTTGAGGACATCTGTGTATGAATTTCTGGGTATTATAAACCTAATGTCTTCAGCAACCATTTTTACCAGTGCTCATATTGCAATTTTTTGCTATTATCATTACATGTTTTTACCAGAGCTCATATTGCAACTTTTTGTTGCTATTATCACTTTTCTCTGGCACTCCTTATTACAAGGAGAATGCAGATTCAAATCCTGCCAGAAAATGCATAATAATTTTTTAATCAGAATTCTTGAACATTCAGGCAGATTGATAAAAATAAATAAATATACTGCTTAATTAATAAACAGAGTATCTACTCAAATATGGTTATCCACTAAAAATAACATTTAAGTAATATAATAAATAAAAATATATCTATATATGTATTTGCATATATATATATATATATATATATATATATATATATATATATATATATATGTTGTATAACCCCTTTGCACTGGGGGGGTAGTCTTGAGGCAATGGTCCTGAGACGATCATGATAAAGTTGTATTCCTCTTTTTCTTCTCTCAGCTGGGCGATCGCTAGTTGTTTTTTTAGTTTAGAATTAAAAGAGAGACATCAACAAAGGGAATATGAAACTTATCTACTTTATTAACATGTCACATTTTTTAACTAGTCAGTGGGGTCACTACACTCCCACCACCCTGGGTGAGCAAGCCTTGAGACATGATTTTAACATGTCGACATTGTTCGACATGCAAAAATCTTAACTTATTGAAAACACTTTCTATCTCTCTAACATTCTCACATTCAGCTCAGCCAATCAGAAACAACTTCCTTTGTTTTCATGTATCTGACCTCAAAGATCAAAATGAGGAAGTCGAAGGAAATACAATTCTTTAAAAAGGAATAGTATGCTACACTATTATTTAATATATATATATATATATATATATATATATATATATAGATAGATAGATAGATAGATAGATATGCATTATATGGAGGTACTTTATTAAGTGCATAGCCTAATGGTAAAAAAATATTTATTTGGCACAAGTAATTATTTTTCAACATACTCTTTTTCCTTGTTAATGCACTTAATTCAATGCTTTTCCATTAATTGCATAGATCAAACATACAGTCAAAATTTCTGTTGAAAATTTGGCCTTAATTACATGACAGGTTACAGACTTATTAATCTGCCCTCTTTTGTATGTGTAAATGCGTGGGTGGTGTAATTGATAGTAACCCTGAATGAGAAATTGGAAAGCTGAGTTTGAATTTCAGTCGAGTTCATTACATTCACCTATGCTCAAATAACCTTCAGAAAGGTAGAAATCCATCTTCTCCACCTGGCTATGGGTTGAATAGTAGGACTTAAGCTGGAAAAATCATTGTTATTCTCAAAAATTTGAATATTCACTCACAAAAAAAAGATTTATTCTTACAATGCAAAATATGTTTCAGCATTAAATAATCCACAATTCTTGATAAGCTGTAAAATGACAAATCAATGAATCAATTAATCAGTCAATCATTTTTGCACTGCTCAATAGTCTCTTTTCAACTTTGAAAAAAGTCAAAATTGTTTACACAGCCTTGTGGGTGATGAATTTCCACTCTACAACTTCTCTCCAACAGATACATTACAAGCCTTACATTTGTTGTCATCTTTATCTCATATCTAAGAATTTAATTTCTTCTTTTCTGATTGTTTCCTTTATAATGATATCATTAATGACTAAGTAGACCAATTCTTGCATGGAAGAGCTGATGGCATTGACTGCATAGTAATATTGCATGATGATTTTGAACTCAATCAAAGCTTAAAAGTGAGAATTGATCATCTCCAGCACAAATATGGTAGAAATAATCCATTTTTGTCCAATCTTAAACTTGTAAATATAAATTATGGCAGGAGGAGTTGGGTACCTTCTGGAGTTTCTGGAGTGACAGAATGAGTTGACCATTTTTCCAGTATCTTTAGAAATGGAACATATGTATAAGTTCCATTTGGGGTCTGGATTGAACTTGAGACCCAAAAGACATTCAAGGCAAGAAGCCTCATTGTAACTGAAGAAAATTCAGAGTTTGAACAATGATGAGGAAATGATACCAGCTTCATTTTTGAGGTGTTGAAAGTGATGTTTCAACTTTTTTCCCCATTGATATAGGAGAGATCAGCTGCAAGGCTCAGATAGTTTTGAGTTTTGGAAGTGTGTTCATAAACTTTGATATCATCTGCATATATATTTACTAATGATCTGGGAATGTTGCTAAGCTAAATCATACTTATTATAAAACCCAGGTTGTGTGTGTGTGTCTGTACGTTTATATATTGGATCGGATTTCCTACATTTTTCAACCGATTTCAACAAAACTTCACAGGACTACGTAAAATTACCTTGCGGTGGTTCTGACAGTGCCAAAAATTGGAAAAACACAATTGTTTTTGCACAAAATCAATTTGAAAACATGATTAAGAGGCATCGCGAGAATGAAAGGGGGACAACTCATATCAAGTTATACTTATTATAAACCCAGGTTGTTTGTGTGTGTGTGTGTGTTCCTTTATATATGGGATCGGATTTCCTACATTTTTTAACTGATTTCAACAAAACTTCACTTTTTTTTGGCAGGTAGTGTTTCTTATTGTCTTGCACACTTTTTCTTTATTTTTACATTCAGAATGCTTTAAAAATTCCATTTACAAGACAACTGTTTATAATAAAATTCTATTCAATCGATTGCCTCATAACGATTGAAAACAATGTTTTTATTTGAGTTTGGGTTTGATCAATTCGTAAAAAAAAAAAAATAACTAATTAAGGCATACATGTCCATCAACCTTAAACAATAATCTTCGTCAATTTTATTTTTCAGTCTTTATGATGGTCAATACTTGATCTATCTCTTACTGTTACATCCCCGGGCAACGCTGGGCTCTACTGCTAGTCATTAATAAAATGCAGACTGTTAGACTGTGGAGAGAGCCTTACAAGAATACCTGCATTAATTTCATAGGCTTCAGAAGACTTCTCATTCACAATAACTTGTTACTGTTAATTCATAGTTTTCAAAATGAACCCAAATTTAATTAATGCCCTAGAAAAAAAATCAGAGGAATAATAAAAATTATTTGCTATCTAGTTTTCTGAGGAGAAAAAGTTATTATGACTTATATTATTTAGATTTTGAGCAATGTTCTCATCTTTGTTGTTATAATCACAATGTTTCAGCCATTGTGACCTCTGACCTTCTTCAGGTGTCTATTGATCTAGATAAACTTCAGGGAATTTCAAACTGAACACTTTATTTAATCTGCAAGAGTAGATTGTTCTTGTTCTGCTATCCATGTGTAAGAGCATCTTGTTTTGTTCTTTTGCTCAGTTATGGCTCATCATGTTGCCACTCAGTCTATACTACCTGGCCCATGGATTGAACTCACAATTACTATTTCACTAAATTCATGAACCGACACTTTAATCCACTTGGCTGTTGTTCTGTGGTGAAAATAAGAAAGATGAGGATATTAACCTGAATATGATTAATTCATTCATTTTCTACATCTTATTAACCCTATGCAGGTTATTTAAAGCCAGAAAATATGTTTAAATTGTAAGAATTCTTTTTAGATAATAATGGTTTAGTGATACAAGTCTCATTAATTAACCCATCACCTGGGGAGAATAAGTGGATTCATAACTTTGTCAAGGGTATTTGTACATAAGTGAATATAGTGAGCCCAATGAACCATTATACTATGTGCCCATCCAAACTTACAGCACCTGATATCACAAATGGTCACCCATCTAAGTACTAACCAGGCTCAATATTGCTTAACTTTGGTGATAGTATGGGAACTAGTGTTTCAACATGATATGGTCAAAAACCTAGTTTGAATATAAATAATATAAGTAATGATAAAAATGATCTTATTTTTGTTTTTTCTTATTGAATGAAATATCATTTTTTTTTGTTTTAAAGAAAATAAAAGTACACAAATATAATTATTGTGGTATTATATGCAAAGAATTGTAGTCTTCATTTTCTTTCACTCATCCTGGATTTGGTTAAAATTCTTAAATTAAAAAAAATAAAAATTGTTTTTACTTTTTTAAACTTTATTTTTACTTCAATGGAATTGAGTAAAATTTCATATTAATGGAACTGATACCTGGTTACTTATTTTAGTGCATCATTTTACTTACAATTATTGCCTTGTCATACAAACAATAGTCAGTAGTGCATTATTTAATCAAATTAGATGTAAATAATCAAAACTGCCTTTTTATAGACATCTGTCACTTATTGCCAACAAGGACTGTTTTTACATTTACATAAATAACAAAGAAATCATTCTAAGTAATGAAGTTAATCAAAATAAGATTTTTTTATACACTAATGCTCATCCAATACAAGGTCCAAGAGTCACTCAGGATAGATATTTACTGTGTGGTGTTGTATGAGCATAAGAAAAAGCAAGAAGTGCAGTTCATATAGTAATTTGTTGTGCAAATTGATTAGACATTTACCTTTTCTCCCTCTCCACCTGTACCAGTAGTGACAGACAGAAAAATAAAATTAAAAAAAATAACTTGTTTGTATAGTTTATTTTTTCTTTGACCTTGAAAAGTAATTTAATTTTGTCAAAAATTTTTAATAAGATGTATTTGCAGTATGATATATACGCCCTGTGCTCCCCCACCCTAAATAATTGCTATGAATCTTTAGAAAATAATGAAAATCCTAAGTTTTGTCAGCTTTAAATATTTTTACCTTTACCTTTTCAGGTGTGAATAGGGTAAGGTAAAGTGAATCTATTTGTTATTTGATATCCTTAACATCTTGGAATTTAACAGCTGTAGATGCCAATTTGTGGAAAGAAGGTGAAAAAGAAAGAGATATTCTTGAATTCTGACCCTGTAAACGTTAGGTATGGGTACGCTAGTTGTGCTATCTTTATTCCTTCAGAACATTTGTCAGTATACAACTGAATGGTGTCTGGGCTTCACAACCTAGTTCTGTCTTCCCAGCAAAAGTTTGAACTGAAAAACGTTTTTTTATTGCATTTTTTTTTTTTAAACAGAAAGCAATGCTTTATCCTGTGCTTCAAGCACTTTTCACCATTGATGTGTAAACATGAACATAAATGTTGAAGATTAGATTAATGATATGCACATACTTTGAAGCAATGAATGCAACAGCACCTGCTGACAGAAAAACTTGAGAAAAAAAAATCTGGCTACTTTGGGTCAATGTTCACATTTTAGCATATTGTGAAGAGTTTTTTTTTTATTTTTTTTGTTTTTTTAGTTAAGCAACAGAGGTTTACATATACACTGGCATTTTTCATAAAACTCTGTTAAAGAGCAACATTTACTACTTTGTAAATGGTTTAGTAATAATAAAATTAGGCAATATTTGAATGTTTAATTTTGTCTGAAAAGGATTTTTGATAAATTGTTATAACATTTTATGTCTTTTGCTTACAACAACAAAAATGTTCTTTCACAAATAATGCAGACCAAATTTATTCTTGAAATATCTTTTCCTGTTTTTTTACATCGTTTTTTTTTTTAATTATTTCACCTCAAGTAAGCCAATAAAGCTATTAAGATGCAAGGTGTTACTGTGGCAAAAAGACAATAGGGTGTAAAGACACTGAGGAAACATTACTGAGTAGAAAGGACAATAAAAAGAACAGGATTCAAGGTGGCAGTAGATGATGTTTGACATTGAAGAGAGTTCCACAAGTGAGAAGTGCACGAGAAGAAACTGTTAACATAGAACATATGGTTACATCTAGCAATTTCAACTGTAAAATGATGAGACTGTTAGAAAATGAAATAAAATAATAAAGAATTAAAAAAAAAATAATTTTCCCATGATGCAAATTATGAGGAAACTGGAAAGGGTTTTCTGGTTACATTTGTGATTTTATGATCCCATTTCCAGAAAGGAGAGAATCTTTCTCTTTTCCACTTTCCAGTGAGATTGAACATGTTTTCAGCAGCCCTAATCATGAAATAGAGATTTGGCCATCTCAACTGTGTGTGAGACTGACTTGAGCTTGACCATCTTTACCTGTTCTTATACTTACTTCCCATAAATTATTTCTGAACCAAAAAAGAAAAACTTCAGTAACCATAAAAAGAGTAAACATCCATAACAGAAACATAAGTTTTTTTTGTATACTTCTATCTTTGTTTATATATTGAACATGCATATTCACCTTGTTGTGGGAGAGGCAGCTGATGACAAGCTGGAGCTGCTGCTGAATGGAGCCATGGTTGGCTGGTGGCTGCTGGAACAAATACTGCACTTTGATCCTAGTCATCTTGGCTGCAAAACAGTATTTATTTTTGTTTTGATGTGAGTGAATTACCATCTTTTATGAAGAAGTGAAGATTTAATTGTCTACAACAAGCCAACAAGAACATGAAAAAAGCTAAGGTGATTTCCAGAAATTGTGAATAGTAGCCTATAGTGAGGCATCTTTTGGCAATTTAGATGATGGCGGTTTGGGGGGGGTATATCATTTTCATTGTCGGAAGCAACAGCAAATATTTCCCTGTTCATTGGTCATCCAAGAGGATAAAGAGAGTTGTCAAAAGCATACAAGTGACAGAGGCTTGTATATATTCCAACTCATTATTTTGTGAAATTCTGCACATAGATGATTTGCCAAAGATCCCCATAGTCTGCAAAACAGACAACTCTGGAGTACATAGTGACACTCATTTGATCAATCTCATTCTTGATAAAAGGCTGAGAGTTGAGATGGCCATCCTCAAAGAAATGCTGGCTAAGAATGAAATGGAGGAAATCATATGGATTTCCCAAGAACATCAAGTGGCTGATATTCTTACAAAAAGAGATGTCTCCCCACAAAAAATAATGAGGAACATGGCAGGCCATGAGAGAGAAAGAGAAAAAGTGGGGAGAAATGTTAACTTGTGACTTATCAGGAATTGAACCTGAAACCTTCTCATAATAAATTGTAGGTTGGTTTAATTTAAATAAGACTGTTTCAGCCAATCAGGAGCACGCTTGGGATTGTAGCAGGCACTACTTAAGACACACAAAAATTTATTCAGCAAAAAAAAGTCATTTGCTGGGGGAGGTGTTAAAAGTATGAGTTATTGGAGTAACTCTGTGTCAGTGCTAATTTCATAAATTTGGCAGCTGAGCGTAGTTCTGGAAAAAAAATCATGGCTTCAAAAATACTTGCACATGATGGGATTTCTGCTATTTGAAATAGTTTTTTGTAGAACCAGTCCATGAGGTTTGAAGAAGTTTTATCCTCTCTAAGACCTACAGGCTTCATTTGTTCAGTCATTGATCTGAGAAAGCATTTGTATATAGCTGACTGTTTAGATATTTCTGAACAGGTTGGCACCATGAATGGCATCCATATGAAAGTCTCAATCTGATGAAGTTATTTAAAGACATGACAGGAATTCTGAAGTTAATGTTTTGGTTTTATAGTAACTTGCAGCATTGTGCAAAACTACTAGTGCAGCCTATTCTATGCATATTTTCCTTATCTCTTATACTAAAGTTTTATAACTAAAAAAAGTAGACCCCAATTATACCACCTGTAATACCAATGTAAGGAGTCTATATTCCAATTTTCCAGAAGTGGAACTCCATCTTTTTTAGTCTAAATTTGACCTCCTGTTCCTTTCTGAAACAAGTATCAATGCCTTGATTCCATTGCAGGAGCTTCCAATCGCAGGCTACTCACCCATTATAACCAGATATGACTACCTAAATTGCTACATTCACAAGCTCGGTGCTAATATCAAGGATGGGTTTCTCTGTGGCAGGGACACAAAAAACAAGGACTCCAATCTGCCATATATGTGTTTCCATGTAGCACTTATCCATAGTGCCACATTTGTCTTTGCCCTGTATCATCCTCAGGATGAAGTGTCAGTAATCTTTGATCAAATATCAGAGAGGATTGGCAATATCTTCATTGAATTTCCCTTAGCCAACTTTGACATATGTGGTGACTTTAAGGTTCACCAGAAAGAGTGATTAGCCCACTCTAACAAAACCAATGAGGAAGGCAGATATTTTTTTTTTTTTTAAGCGTTTCACCCCAAGAAAGGTGGGAAGCCACTAGGACACAAGGGTTAGAGAAAATTTCAAGCAAGATCAGATAGGAGTGATAGAAGAAAGGATGAGGAGAAGAGTAGTGGATAGATCAAGGCGACTGGAGATGTCGATTGACATTACATCTGAATAGCTGGAGATTATAGCTCTCAGGGAAACTGGAATAGGGAAGGGAGTTCCACAGGCGAGAGGTGTGAGACATGAAGCTATTGGAGTAGAAGAGACGGCTACATTTAGAAGTTTCGACAGTGAAGGGGTGAGAGTGGGATGCCAGCCTTGTTGGGCGCTTGAACTCGTGAAGTCTGGGAACCAGTGAATGCAGCTCCTTGGAGCAATTGCCATGAAAGTATTTGTAAAACAGACAGAGAGAGGCGACGGCGCGTCTGTGAGAAAGTGACTGTAGACAAGATGCCAGATCAGGGCCAATTATATTGCATATCCGCCTCTGGAGCCTATCAAGAACCCCAAGGCAAACAGAAGGGGCTCCAGACCATATATGGCAGCAATACTCCATGCAAGGGCGAATTTGCAGAGATTGTTCACCTATGAACTAACCCAGATCATTGAAGAACCCACCCAAGTCCTGGATGTGACAGGACAGTAGGCAAAATACCTCAACCTTTTCCTAACATCCCCCACTGGTACGTCAGATCATTCCCTAGTCAGTGTCCTGATTGACTACAAACTGATGACATCTCCTGATTTACCATTTCATAGAATAGTTTTTTGCTATGCAGAGGCAGACTAGGACAGTTTTTGGTCCT